ACCTCCCAGCGCCCAATAAGATCGCACAAGGCGGGCCTTCTCCGGGTACCGTCGGCTATGCAGTGCCGTCTGGCGGTTCCTCGGGGGAGAGCCTTCTCTGTTGCTGCCCCGGCCCTTTGGAACGATCTCCCCCCTGAGATCCGGACCGTCCCCACTCTCTTGGCCTTCCATAAGTCTGTTAAGACCTGGCTGTTCCGGCAGGCCTGGGGCTGTTGATCTTGATTGAACTCCAGCCCCATTAAAACTGAGTGTGCGTTGTGTTTTGTTTTTTAAGTCTCTGTCTTGTATTTTTAAATATTTTTTTAATATTTTTAAACTGCTTTTATGTAAACTGCCTGGAGTCCTTCGGGATTGGGCGGCATACAAATCTATTAAAATTACAAATTACACTGAAATACCTCACAATTACTCCTTCCCCCCCGCCATGCCGGATCACTTACCTTGTGAAGATCTAGCAAGCAGTCTCCTCTCTAGCCTCTCAGCTGTGTGCGCCCCTCTGCAGTTTTATTTGGGCCTCCGCAGGTCTTGCCAGCAGGTTGTCAGATGAAATGGAGCTTCTGAGGGGTGGATCCACCCCTCAGAAACTCCGTTCAGGCATCCAGAGAACTCCCCCAGCCCATTGTAGGCCAAAATGGAGCTTCTGGATCCAGCCCCTGGATCTGCCCCTCAGAAACTCCATTTCGGCTGGCTGTGTGCAGGACGAATGTTGCAGCGCCTCTGTGGTTGTTCGTAAGGATGAACAACTACCATGGTGCTGCATGATTCATAATTTAGGAACTTGCTCACAAATGCTAGGGGCTGCTTATTGCGTAACTTCGAATGTTTGATAAGGGAATGCTTATAATCCGGGAATTACCTGTATCTGATCAGCTGTGAAGGATCAGCCTCTTCTGTCTCAGAGATGTAATCTTGGAGAAAATGTAATATACCTCTGTAATTTATATAGATTCCCTTTTGTCCCCTCCCTTTTCATATTGTATAGGATATTTTTCAAAATCAAAAGCCGCAATGCTCATATGAAGACCCACCGCCAGCAGGAAGAACAACAGAGGCAGAAAGCTCAGAAGGCTGCGGTTGCAGCCGAAATGGCAGCCACAATTGCAAGGACTGCTGAATCACCAGGGCACAGCTTGATCCCCCTGGATCATTTAGACTTGATAAAGCAAGTCGAACAGGGAGACGAACTTGGCAGCGATGTTGTACAGGAACTGGGTGAAGTAATTGACAGTGATGAAGTGATGAACCCCAGCCTCTTATTGGTTGAAGAAGAATCAGAGTTGCTTCAGGATGATGTTGAACTGTAGACAAAATGAGCCACGTCTGTAACATTACTGATACCAGTTGAAATCAGTTTCCTCCAGTGAAAAGGCTATATTTCTTATTTCCCTTTTATTTTAAACTGTTTCTATAGCTGAATTCTTTTAAATCCAGAACTGGCTGAACACATCTGTCTTGTGATATTCTTTCTTTTGTTTTCTTTTTTAAAAGTGGAGGGGAATTGTTGCATTCTAAAGGAATCTTGTGTAATATATTGGAATCAAATATTCTGAAAAATCCATATATCTTAAAACTTTTAAAAGAAACATCATATTCTTTCAATTCCTCAGGAGACTTTCTTTTGTTCACATTTGTTAATTCTGGCTTCAAAAAAGCCTGCAATAGGACCGTGAGACGGCAAAAACAAGTCAGTGATACCTGCATCTTCAATCCAAGATGGACATGGAATAAGTTGTTTGTATCTGGCGATTTTGGACTAGGGCAACAGCAACGTAATATGTCCTTGTACTTGGGCCTATAATCAAGATAATCCAATTCAATTATTTACTCTTACCAAAAGTTTGACACCAAATGAAAATTCTGAGAAGATCTTGATTGCCTTTCCTAACAAGATTTTAATGGATGTTCTGTTTGCTTGAACACAGGCTGATTGATAGCAATATATCCTGTTCTGCTTTACTTGGTTCTGAAAGGAAGAAACAACCATGAAATCAGAAGGAATGACTAGATTACAGGTGTCAGACTAGATCCTGTCGTGGGCCGCATCGGGATTTTGTTTGTCCTTGGGGCACCGTGAAGTGCATGGCCTGCTTGTTACAGCCAGCTGGGTGGGCATAGCCATGCCTAGGGCAGCAGAGGCCGGTCCCTCACTGTCTCTGTGACAGCAGTCAACTCCACAGCCTATCGTTGGCCACGTGTTTGACACCTCTGGACTAGAACATTCCTCCCAGCAAAAGTTTTTATTATCGTCAAATTTAATATGTATACAATTGTTTCTTTTCAAGAATTTCCATAGTCATAATCCATACTTCTGGGCTTCCAAATTAGGAGATTCAGAAGGAACAGCATCACTGAATGTGGGAAATCTAAGAGATTATAGATAGACTTTTGAATTTAGAGTGACAGAATGGCTGAAGTCAACTCACCACCTTTTCATATAAGATTCCTGAATTGAATGTAAATTAATAATTGATGTAGTGAAGTATAGGCAATTTGTACAGTAAACCAGTTACTAAAAAGGTGTCTTTGAAAGTATAGGTACAATATGCTATATTTAGCTTCACAGCAATGTTTTCCTGAAAAGGGGCAAGTCAAAGGTTTTCTCACAAAAAAATGAGGAGAAAAATGTCCTCCTTCAAATATATATATATATATATATATATATATATATATATATATATATATATATA